TTTAGCATGTGACAATAAAATAGATTGACCTATCAAACAGACAGTTTATTTTTCCAATTACTAGAAAGCTGTGTACTTTATTTTGTTCTGCTAGACATCACGGAGCTCCATCTATTACATAGACCATATCAGAGTTCAGAGGAAGTTACAATAGACCTGAAGTGGAATGGAAAACACTCAGGAAGCTCATTGAGGCCTGATATGAACACTGTACTTCAAACTATACACACCCTTAGTGCTTCCCACTTCATTCACATTGACATCTCCCTTTAGCGGGATGCACAACTCTGGGAAATGGGATTAATGCTAATCATGTGACACAGTAGCAAAATAAAAATATTCTCCAACACAAGGACTGAAATTCCAGGGGAGACTAGGTCTCATCAGAAATAACTCAAACTAGAAGAACTAGAATAATTAGAAGAAAAATGGAACCACAAAGAGAGACAGTTGGGACAGTGAAACTGTGATTACACTGAGAGCAAGAGCCAAAGAGGACAATGCCATTGTTTATGACTGCATAGGATCAGGGGAAAGGAACTTGGAAAAAGAATCTCCAATTTTCTCTGACACGGCTTGTGCTGATCTAAGAACACGCTTGTGGTTATCCACAGTATTTTCCTTTAACAGAAGGACATTTTTGAAATACAGCAAAACACAAAACCACATATAGCACAAAGCCAAACCCTGGAATATATGTTCCGGGAGCTGCCTATTTTAGAGAATTCAAAGGAAGAAGCAAAGGGAATCCTTAAAAGAGAGGATTTTATAAAAAGATCTCACTGTAGATTATTTCACCATGAATGTTTACTTAACACATTTCCATTTAGCTATGACACTATTTAAAAAAGAACATGTGTCCTTCACAGAGAGTTAATGTTTTTTCCAATGGAAAAACAAAAAGATATAAGAAGATTTAGGGTGGTGATCTTTATACAATCACACAGCTTAAGAGGTGAAATGCCCTTTTTATGAATCTTGAACTCTCTGAGCTTTGCCTAACTGGGCGAGCTGTAACCTTTTAGAATAAGTTCAAAACAATGCCATTTAGCTTGGCGAGTTCTCTTTTTAATAATGGTTGAAAGTTTTTACTTCATACTTTATGGGTGTCTGCTCTGGATATAAACTACACAGGAAATTAAAGTTAAGTTAACATACAAATCATGTTTGCTACTTTCAAAGGGAGACACTTCAGTTGGTGAAAACTGATTTACTTCTGCAGAATATGAAATAGTGTCGCGGGACGCTGCCATCCAGTGAATACTTGGTCTGCTGTCTGGGAACAGTTAGCAGACAAAATTCCAGTTGGCTTCTGGCTGTTTCCTATGTGCTAATCATCTGGTCCTAGGTCATCGAAACTCAGCCTTAAGACTGAACTATTAACCCCCACGCAAAAGGGCTCTTGTAAATTTCAGAAACGCTACAATTTGCCCGTTTGCTTTGGATCTCAGTGCCTTAATGCCATTTTCTGGAATAACCTGGATAAGGACTCTGAAGTTGTCTAAGTGACTTTTCATTTCATTCCAGGTACCATTCCTTAAATATGGTTATCCCATGGTGAGGCTCACGATTCGTGAAGAAAGCCTAGAATGGATAGACAGTTACTTTAAGCTTGCTTTAAAGGTGGGATACATTTTTAGGTAAGAGAATTATATATCAGCAAAGAGGAATATTTTTGCTCCAAACAACAAAATAAATAAATCAACTGGAATTAGTGTAAAGCGTAATCAGCCATGCCTAAAATTAGATGAATCTGAAAAAAAAGAAAAAGATATTTTCCATGTCAGCTTCATTGTGACCTAGGAGGAGGTGATTATATAAACGAATGAAGAAAATACATTTTCCAGATGCTTGTAGAGATGTGATATTTTGCTTCTTCCTGAATTCTGAAATTAGTCAAATCTACTGACTGCCTACAGAAAAACAAGCTCTGAGTCGCTGGCTATTGAATGTGCTTCTAGCATGAAACCAAACACACTGGCATGAAGGGAAGCCCTCTGGAGCAACCAAGGCAGCAACTTTTCCTTTGAGAACAACCTTGCACTTTTTGAAAAGCTTTATTCTTAAGAAACTCCAATTAAAAAAAAATCACTTCCCAGAAGTCTTATGAAATAAAGAGGAAGGAATGGATCTAAACAGGTAATTATGGAATAGAAAGAAACATTAATAAACATTAATACCACACCTGTTAGCCAAAACAGAATGTGGCACAATAAATGTGTATGGCTTAGGTCTAAGCCCACCATCTGATATCTCTTAAGGATTATATTTAATGGGCTATCTGGAAGGTAACCTGGGAAATTTCTTCTTCAAAGAAATTTCAAATATATGCCAGCGTAGGCATATATAGTCCCCAAGGTATAGGGCTGCCATACAAACCTACCTTGGTCGATACAACATAGGAAGGCTCGAAGGGTCAGCAGTTTTCAAGAGCCAAACCCCAATGGTTTGACATACCATGAGCAATGCAGATGAGTGACAGATGCATTAGTAAAACTGGTTACTTGTCTACTGATGTCCACACATGCGACTACTCATGATTTACTGCAATGGTTATCAAATATGTTGCTTTCGTATAATTCGTTAGTAATTAACTGCCATGCCAGACACTCCGTTTAGTCTAATAAGGATTCTAGTGGACGGATTATAGTGGGACGAGTTGGTGATGGGGGTGGTCTCCGGCTAGAAAGAGAGAAAGAGAAAAGTAAAGAAACAGGTAGACTATCTAGCAGAAGGCTGCCCCAAAGACACTGAAGAAGAGACATTGCCCACATGCTCATGCACAGACAGGCCAGCAGGAGTGTTTGCCACCTGTGATAATTTTAATACTGTTAGTTTTCAGTCACCCATCATTTTTTAAAACAAAAATGAGGTGTTTTTCATAGGCAAATCTTTCTGAAAACATGTCATCCCTCCCAATAGTAGTGCAAATATTAACTCATTGAAAAACCATCTGAAATATACTGCATATTCTCAGCCAATAGCGTATGATCACAGAGAGTTAACTGTATTGTGTAACTATGAGGTATAGTCTAGGAGCCAATGCTAGGCCTTGGAGAATGAGGAGTTTTGAATTTTTATTTTCCATTATGTAATAATATCTTACTCTTTTCCTCCATCAGGATATTTGCGATCATTTCTAATGGACTTCAGCAATTGCTTTCTCCACTTTGTTCCATATCTACATCTAATTGGCAGAAAACCAGAGAATCAAGGTTTTTGGAGTTCTCTACAGTAAGTGTAAATAGGCTCAGGATGAGTACCCAAGAATCTGAGCATCCGAGTCCTGGTAAATTGCATGACCTCTTGTTCCCATTTTGGGTCCTAAAAGTTTTATTAGTAGTAGTAATTTTGCTCACTTTCTAGTTGGTAATGGTGTTTCTGATAGCTGAGGTTGCTGAATAAACAAACTCACGATAATGTAGTATTATTGTACCTGTCAACTTTACCAAGTAATACTCATTTCCTGACCTTCCACATTTATTTCCTAAATGTATTAATAAGTCTTAGTGTGTGTACTTGGCTTCGCCTGTAGTATTTTGGGGAGTGATTTTTTATAACCAACCAAATTCAGTAAGTTCTATAAATTAATACCTTTCTTCTTGATAAAACTCTCCCATGGATCCCATTGATTTTTTCCCCCTCAGAAAGACCTCTTCTTGAATGTCACGGAATTTCTTTCTGTATTGGAAACACTATAAATTGACCAAATCAAATATCCTTTCTCAGGTATAAAGAAGGGAAGTCAGAAAAGTTAGAGAAAACAATCATGATATGTTTTTAAAAAAATCACAAAGTTATAAAATAAAACTAGATACTTAAGGAAAAAAAACAATGCAAAAGAAATATTGTTGATTAGTGGTAAAAAAAATCAACCACTTAGGCACAAATTCATAAGTATCAGTAGAGTTCCTTTTGCTTCCTGCACCTAAAGAAGTCTAAGTGGCTTTAGAAGAAAGGTTTCGTTGAGAAAGTGCATTCTAGCTTAATGTCTTATACTAAGCAAGAACTCCATTTTTGAAATTTGGAGATACTTTATAGGCACAGTAACAAAACGAAACCAACCAATACTAGCTGTTTAATGGAGTAAACAAGTAAGTCTTTCTGCAGAGAGGCTACTGGCTACCGTGACCACCTGAAATGTTTTGGCCATTCCCTGCTGGAAAAAATCCTCCCATAATCCCTTTTTCACTTATGACCGAGCAAAATGCCTGTTCTTTCACTAGCATCGTGCTCCTGTTCCTTTAAATGGCCATATTTATTTAACTTATGTCCTGAATTTTGAACCTGCATCATTTCCCCCTTTGATGGGAAGTTTCTAAAGGCCAGAGGTCATGTCCAGTTAACTTGTTTCGTACAGTGTTTAGCTTGTGTTACATCTCAGTACCTTTCTGTTCATCAACTGGAACTGATATTCATCCTTCAAGACCCACCTGGGTGAAGTCTTCTCTGATCTCCCTTCCCCTATCTTGGATACATTGCTTCTATAGCATATCAACATGACTCGGTGTCACATGGAATCCTAATCAGGTTTATGCTTCTCTTCCCCCCATTAGAAATGGGATTACTCATCTTCATATTCTTCAATCTTTATCTTAGGGCTTGTCATTCAGTCACAGAATGTTGGACAATTGGGTAAGTGAAAGTTACTCCTAAGATAAGAAACAACTTTTAAGATCTCGTGTTACCCATTGATCTTTCCATGACACAAAAGGTATTTGTTAGTAAATGAGTGCTATGGCAAAACTAACACACACAAAACTATAGTGATATGTAGGATTTAGACCCTTGGAAACTCCACCTATAAAGTATTTGACTGCTCAATTCTTTAGTAGGTGTTTGAAATAAATACTAAATAATACGCCCCCTGTCCTCATGGAATTAAATAAATAATCATGCTATCTATAGAAAAGTATTCTTAGCAACTAAGCAGTTATTGGGGGAAGGGCAAAGGAGTTGGCCAGAATTTGAACTTAAAGAAGAGAAATTCTACTAGAAGACTCAATAATGGGTTAGATTCAGTTAGGGAATTTCATTTGAAAAAAAGTGAATCTTAAACTATAAATTTAGTGACAAGTAGGATACAGCGTGGCATGGTGAATTGGAAATTGTTTCATGCACACGTGATAGCTTGAACCAAGGACTACAGCCAAACAGGGAAAAGAATGCAAACTGGGTTCTTTTCTGATCCTTTTGTTCTTGGCTCAAATGTCCTTCCTCAGCCCTTCCTGACCACCATCACCCCAATCACTTCATGATGTTTGTGTATTTCGTAGCGCTTACCCCTGGTTTTAATTATGTATTCATTTTCTAGACTATTGCCTGTGTCCTCCTAGTAGATTCCTTGAGAGCAGAGACCACATAGTTTGTATTTATTACATGTCTTCAGCATTTAGTATAATGTGATTAGAAGGCAGTGAATAAATGTTTATTAAATAATGGACAAACAAATATATGAAAAGTGCCCAAACAAAGATGTTTTAAGCAGGTCAGAGTATAAGCCAGGTCAATGAGTAGGTTCAATGAGGCGGGAAATGTAACACTTGGAGGCTTATATTTGAAGCATCAAGTTTATACAAATAGAATCAGAAGTCAAAAGATATAACTCCAGCTCCAATGGCCAATTTGTACAATTATTAACTCACTATATAAAAGCCTCAGTTTTCTCATATATGACATGGGAGACTCACTAGAGGACCTATAACATGCCTTCCAGTTATGCATTACCTGCATTATTTATTGAGCACCTACTATGTGTACTGCATTATACTGCATGGTTTTTAAGAACTCAGAATCTACTCCTAGTGGAAGACAAGTGGGATAAAACAAATCTGCAAGGAGTTCTACTATAGCACTCCAAATTAAGTGGGAAAAATAGGACAAATTTTTGTAATTTTGAAGGGAGGAAGTCAACACTGGGGAGAGAGAATAGAAAGATTTCAAACTTCTGATGGCCCAGTAACCTCTCATTAACCTCCTCCCCAGTCCTTGCACCATGCTGATGGGACCAGAGAAAGACGACAGTAATAGGCACCCCCAGAAGGCTGGACACCAGGAGAATGCAGCTTTCTGCCGCGTGCCAGGACTTTTGCCTGTCTTGTTCACCACCATATCCCAGAGCTTACCATGGTCTTTGGCTCATCCTACCTTTTTTTCCAAATAAATCAGAGAACCTATCCATTATGCGCTTTTCAAGGAAGTCTCTAGGACCTTCCATTGAATGGGAACAGCATACCTGAGTGGCAATTTTATGATTGAAAGGATGAGAAAGAAAATTTCCATCATGTCCTCTCAAAATAATTATGACTTCTTTAAAATATGCCCAGCTTCAGCTGAAAGTAACCCTTATATGCACTTAGTAGTTAAAAAATCCTACAGAGCCCCTAAGTCTTCTGGAAGAAATGAACGTAATTTTCTTTCTAAAACAATAAACCCCCAATAATCTGTATATAAAACTAGAAAGCAATTCAGGGGGAGCGTGAAGTTGTTCAGCATGAATTTTCTTAAGTAATGCTAAGATGCCTGCCAACTTCAACACCAGAGAAACGTTCAGGGTTTACTGTGAAGGTTCACTTCATTGGTCTGGTTCCCAACCATTCAAATTTCCAAGGACATTCACCTCCTAAGACAGTTTGTTTTGAGCAGAGCGAAGTTATTTGTTTTGTGCTGAGCTTCCCTCGGCTGCTCTTTTAGTGACGGGCTTCATTAAGGAGCCCCTCCTATTGAAATGGAGCAGCTTGACTCACTTAGTGTTTATTGAAACACTGTGTTGTGTGTGGGCGGTTAATGGTTATGATACAAGAGCCATGTTTCTGCTTCCAAACCAAAGGGAAAGATGTAATGCTTGAGGTCGCATGTGTAGCTGCAGGGATGGACCAGTTACAGCATTTGGGACACTGACAAATTTTGTAAGAAAGTCCAACACTCACACAGGGTGGGTGGCATTGAGGGAGAGAAACTGGCCTCACTGATGAGGCAGAAGAATGTGTGATGGGTCTTCTTGTCTCTTTCGATTCTCTCTTAAGAACTGGAAGGACCAGAAATTCGCCTGCTCTTCATTGGTTCAGCTGGTTCTGACTATCGGGATGCGAGGCCAATCTTCACATTGGTGGGGAGAATTCATAGGGCACATGGCTTTGGTGCGTCAGTGTGAGGGGTGAGGTGGAAGGGACCTTTACTGGAATGGCTGGACCTGTCTGCCCTGCCTTTATTCCTCCTCAGGACGGACGTGGGAATTACCAGAGTGGGGAATGTGAGAGCCACTCTGTGTAGCTCAGTGTCCTTCCTTCCCTAGGCTGAAACCAGGATCTACCACCTGCCGGTCAGATTCCTTACACTATGTGTCCCCAGGCAGCGCTTCCCCAACCAGAAGGCGCCCCCGAGTGCCCCGGAGGGCTTGTCAAAGCACAGGGTTCTGGGACCCACGCAGAGTTCTAATGGGCTGAGACCTTTCCAGCGTGTTCCCAGAGGCCGCTGGCCCTGGGAGTAGGCTTTGAAAACCACGATTCTAAGGCATGATACGTAGTTCTGACCTCCTTTCACTTTAGCAGTTCAATCCACTTGCCAGATAATGTCCCAGCAATAAGAGAAAGTGCTGGGGGGGAAAATCTCAAGAGGGATGAAAGAAATGTGGTAAAGAGACTTTGATACTTTTAGGAGCGGGACATAAGCATGGGTCAAAC